GTACAGCGATTCGGGAGGTGCTTGTTCTATTGAAAGTGTTGAAGCCAAAGGTGAGCCTGTTGAAAGAAAAACTTTGGTAACCAAAAGAAAATATGAGCAATGCAAAGAGAATCAGGAAGCTGAAGCTGCTGTTGACAGGTCTGAAGATACAGATGAAAGAGTCTTTGCTGAGTCGCTGGAAGATTTGCTGCCTGCCTCCGTCTCACTTTCCGATGATGAGCTAGCAGATATTCCCCAGCTCTGCCTGAGACCAAGAACCGACTCTCTGTACACCCTGCGATCGGGTCTCAGTATTTCCGAGGAATCCTTATCAAAGACATTGGATGAGTTATTGGATGTATCCAGCCAGTCTGAAGTTTCCGCCTCCAGTGGAATGTCAGAAGTGGGTTTAAAGCCTCGCAAGGAGAAGCGAAATGACAACAGACTGTTCACCATCGGAGATGAAGAGGAGGAATTTAGTGAGCCAACTACCATCTGCGATACAAAATCATTATCAGATATGGTCAGTAGAACTAACCCTGCCAACACTTTACAAGAACGTGTTCCTCCTGCTGTCACCCATTGTCACCAGGATGTATCCAGCAGTGCTGGTGATCTCACTGGAGGAGGCAGCTTGTCTGTATCAGTGCCAGAATTGGTTAGTGAGAATAAACAAGTAGATGTAGAGAAGAGCCAGCCAGCTGGCCAAGCCGTGTCTGCACGTAGAGAGTCAGAGGCCGGTCGCTTATCTGACATTTTCTTGATTAAAGCTGCTGTTGATGGCAACAGGATTGCCAAGCAGGAGCATTTAATGATGCCTTTTGTTGAGTCCGAACCAAACTGCTCCTTGTCTCCAACAGAAAACAGTGTAGACACCCATTTGCCATCTGCCAGTGATGAGAATACCACAAGAAATGAGGCTTATGAACACTTGCCAGAGCAAACTCTTCAGATTAACCATCAGGGTGAAACACAATATAAAACAACACACCCATGTGAAGAAGCTGACTATTCTGAGACAGATCGAAGCAGGCTGAAAATTAAAAATGACAGTGGAGATGAAAATAACAGTGCTGGAAACAAGCAAGCAACTGATAAAAAAAACAAATCTCACAGTTTAAAAAAAGAACAAAAATTTATGTCACAAGCAGTTGCATGTCCAGTAAGCGGTGACAATATCTACACTCCTACTGCACTCACAAGCAGTCCTGAAACTTTTGAAGAGTCATTATTGTCTTCTAAGACCAGACAACAGACAAATGAGAAGTGTGTCAGTATTCACAGTATCACAACAGACTGCACCACAGAAGGTCTAACCTCAGAAGAGAAAAATCTTGTGACATTTCACGGCAGAAATGTTAAATATAAGCATAAATCAATAACCAGAGATAATATTTCTTATGTTCAGGCCAAGGGTATAAACGACAGCAAGCTGAACGTTGGAAATCTCAAATATGACACGAATAACTTTGAGGCATTAAGCACAGGTTCCAGCGATTATGTGAATTTTGAGCAGCACTCCCAGCGGGACATAGAAAGTGCCGTAGAGAGTTGGATGGAATTCTACGGAATCAGCCCCATGGGCCAGTACCACGGTTCTGAGTATGAGATGGATCATGACAAGAAGCTCTTTGGGAGCTGCAGATTCCCCCAGCAGTGCAAAAACTTCATACCTCAGCCAGGTCACAGCATGAGGTGTAACTCTCTTGTCCGAGCCAGACAGTTGTGGCTGGACTTCTATGGAATTGAGGTGGTGGAGAAGGAGGTCCCAGCAGTCAGCCCTCAGCCCAATGGACCCCTGCTGACTGTTTCTGTGGAAGTCCATGCAGTTGATGCCGCTTCCTGTGATGCCTCTGTGTTACGCGAGCAGGCAAATACACATCCTGAGCAGAACTATCTGAAACAAGGACTTCTGTTTGATCCTGCCCAGGTGGAGGAAGCAAAGACCAGCAAGAGGCTGAAGCGTGTGATAAAGTATAGGAATGAAAAACCTTCTTCAGGCTGTGAAGTTACTCCTGGGCGTAGCTATCATGCTTGTGTGACAAAGCTAGGGCCAATTCCAGATACTCTTAAACAGAACGGTGATACTCTAAATATCCAAAAGCAAAACACTGAAGAAGAATCCCTTCATAAGTCTGTTTCTGATCTGAATTTCCATGAAATTGATGGTCGCAAAGCTGAAGCATGCGGCATCACAGCTGACCAACAGAGCAATACTGAGAAAGAAAGCCTCCGTAAGTCTCTGTCAGATTACAGTGACAGAACTGATGGTAACAAAGCTAGTCCAAATGGGACTACAGTACATAAAGAATCTTTTCACATCTTGCATCCATCCATTCTTATGAACCAGTCGGAAATAAACAATGGTTTACCAACACTTCCCTCACATAGAGATAAAAGAGTCAACACAGGTTTTGAGGACAGCCCACCTGTAAATGTTAAAAGAGCAATATCACCCCAGATCACAGAAATATCCTTAAACCCTGATTCTGATTGTACACTAGAGGTTTCCTTTCACAAGAGACAGACAGTTGATTCTGCCGAAGAGGCAAGTTTTGTAGAGAATATCGCATCTGTACCAGCTGAAGACAAAGCAGCTGCTTTCAGTTGTATCTATTCTTTGGAAAATGGGTCAGGGTCTTTTGAAGGTTACAGCGAGGAACTTGAGGGTCAGAGAGAAGAGAATATCAGAGTTCATTGCATCAGCAGCAAAGAATTTGAGAATCAGATAGAAGAGAATGTGAAAGTTGATCAAATCAGCAGCAGAGATGCCAATTTTGATTATATCAGCAGCAAGGAATTTGAGGATCACACAGAAGAGAATGCCAAAGTTGATTATATCAGCAGCAAAGAATTAGAGGACCAAACAAAAAATGTCAGAGTTGACTGTATCAGTCCCAAAGTATTTGAAGATCAGTCAGAAGAGAATGCCAGCGTTGAAAAGATTAGAGAGAAAGAATTTGAGAAACAGACAGAAGAGAATGCCAGAATTGATCATATCAGGGGCAAAGAATTTGCTGTAAATAGTGTTGCCAACGTCAGAGAGAACTTTGGCTTGAGGAAGGTTATCGAGCTGGAGAAATCCGGTCAACCAGGGGAGATCAGTTTCATGAGTGTCTGTACCAAGCATGCAGATCAGTTGAGCTTTTCTGAGCCAAATGATGATCATCTTGTTGACATTGCTAGTAGTTCTGATTATAACAGCAGCATCTACACATTTGACAAAGCAGTGCTACAGAATGAAAGACCAGTATATCAGTTTATTAATAGCAAGTTGGGAGACAGTTGTGTTGGAGGCAAGCATCAACAAAAGCGAATGGAAGCATCTCATCTGGTAAACCATCTGAAACAGCAGCGACAAGGTATCAGATCTTGGAGTCCCTGAGCATAACATGTCGAGCACTGCTGGCAGAATTAGGCATCTACCAGGATATTCTGGAGGGTGTGATCCCACTGGACAGGGAAGTGGTTTGCCAGAAAGGGATCAAGTGGATGGCTTCCTGTCCAGACTGCGAGAGAAGGCAGCAGGAGACACTGCGGAGGATGTCGGGGGCAGTGCTTGGTTCTACCCAAGGAACTGGAGCTTCTGCTTCTACTGGGGCTGAAGCTGGACAGCAGGGAGATGTCAGTTGGAATGCTTTGACAGATACCCGTGAGTTTATGCTGTGGAAGATATTCATTTGTTTTCCCCATCTTTTTGTGTGTGTGTGTGTGTGATCTATTTGCCTGGTTGTCTCTTTGTCCTTTGCACTATCTTTCATCATCTTTTATTCTCTCCTTTGCTCTCTGTCTATCCGTCTATCTCTGTTTGTCAGTATGTCTATTTGTCTGCGTCTATTTACCCGTCTGCTTCGTGACTGAATATCACTTATCCACTCTATCTCTGTCCGATGTGCATTGAAAATAATCTTAAAAATCTCCACTCTGTCTGTCTGTCTGTCTTTCTATCTGTCTGTCTGTCTACCTGCCTGTCTATTTTTTATTTTTTTAAATTATGAAAATCTGCCTTTATTAAATGCCTGTCATGTTTGTCACAATGTAACTCAAATAGTATGTGACATTTCTTATCATGTCTGTTGTGTTGAATTGAGGGATTGTATACTTATGAAGTCTTCACATTGGCATTTTGTTTTTATCTTTAACCTAAACCTACTGTTAAATCTTTTCTTGTGAAATCACAGTGTTAAATTTTCCCTTGTTTTAAAGACTGGAGCCATGGTGTACCAGTTAGATTTCTCTATGTAATGTATGAGTTGAGTTGATTTAAGAACCGACATCACAGCACTCAGGGCATTCCCATAAGCGCTCCGTCCCCATCTTCAGCAGCCAGTGAAGAGTTCCAATACAAATGGTGCCAGTAGCATTCTAATTAAACATCCGTCTTGCTTTGCCTTGAGCATCTGTCAGAACCTCTCATTACTCCCCGCTGCATCAATCTCACCAGACCGTGGTGATCCATCTGCTCCTCCGAACTGTACACGTTCTCCTACAAGGCACTAACCACGTCTGCCTTATCATTCATCAGTATTCTACCATGTTGTGTAGAGCCAGCCAGTATGTCCGCCTGTTCATTTACCATTTTTCTGGAAAAAATCCACACAATACTACTCACCCCTGTCCTCCGCAGTGAAGCATGCCACTGCTTGTCTGTCTTGCCTTTCTTCTGAGCCTCAAGCATCTGTCAGAACGTCTTTGTAATATATAGTCTTGGGTACGTTGTGTACTTTTTTCCATATTTGATAAAAGATATCCATTGCAAAGCCAAGCATCCGTATTTAATAAAAGATAACCATTGCAAAGCCAAGCATCCGTATTTAATAAAAGATAACCATTGCAAAGCCAAGCATCCGTATTTAATAAAATAAATCCATTGCAAAGCCAGGCATCTGTATTTGATAAAAGATATCCATTGCAAAGCCAAGCTTTAGGCTTGTTAACTCTGTTACTGCCTCGACTCTCAAAGCGGTAAAAGAGGAAGAAGCAGCAGAGCTGAGTGACGCCTGTGCTCATTTCTTTCATAGAATCAAACAACTCTACAGGCCTGCACCACCTCACCATTGACGAGCTGAAAGGGGAGAGATCTACCCCTGGAAGTGATGTCAGCTCTCTCGGCATAGACATGTTCCAGGACCTGGAGGAAGCTGGGACCGGGACGTCTGCATCAACTTCACGGGCGGATGATTTCATCAGGTCAGTGGTTTGGTTGCCTACCTTGTTGTTTTCTTTCTTAACAAATAAAGTGCTTCTTTAGTATAAACAGGGCTTAAAGTTTTTTTTAAAAAAAGTGCCTGTACTGCTCATAGAGTGTCTAACAAAGGTGTCAGTGCTAACCACAAAGTGCCTCTTACAGTAGCGTTGACTGACTGAATTTTTACCCCACCTGGACATCACACTGAGCAATAAACCCGCAATGGCACAAAGTGCCACCATTTGGATCACCCGTGGAGAGGTTCCTGGAAACCTTGTTCAACTTTTGGGTTATATTAGGGCTGCCAGCAATAACAAGGAAGGGGCTTTAAAATAATTAAGAATGACTGACTGACTTTCTACTCCACCAGGACATCACACAAGCGACAAACACCCGATGACACAAAGTGCCACCATGCAGGTGAGGATTGCAGTGTAGAGGTCCCAGAAACTGTCTTTAGACATTTGGCCATTGGATTGGATTGGCTTTTTACCCCACCAGGACATCACACAAGCGACAAACACCCGATGACACAAAGTGCCACCATGCGGATGAGGATCACCGGAGAGAGGTCCCAGAAACCGCGTTTTTGGCCATAATGATGACCTGCCTAATTGCGGCCCCCTGGCAAAAAGCCAGCCTGCCTCCTATATTTGGCCATATTTATGGCCTGCCTATATTACGACCCCCGGCAAAAGCCAGGGTGGAGCTTCAAATAAAAAATTTCATCCTGAAAAGGACAATAGAGAATAAATTAAGAATTTGTTCCACATGGGGATGGAGATTGTAGCGTTACAAGTTAAATGCTTTATAAAAGAGGGGTTCTGTATCGCAAACCACCATAAAAAACCTTTTACTAGAGAATTAAGATGTTTCTTATATTTGGTTGTCTCCCTTGTAATTGGCTGCCTCCCATACAATTGATTACCTCCCTTGTAATTGATTACCTCCCTTATAATTGGTTGCTTCCCTTATAATTGGTTGCTTTCCCTTTAATTGATTACCTGCCTTATGATTGGTGACCTGCCTTGATGTTGTCTGGCTGAATAAATGTGGTGGTTTTTGAGTATTACTTTCCCTGGTGACACTTTAAGGTGCATTAGGCATGTGGCTCTTTACCTCATAGTTCATGTCATATGATGTTAGTTGTCATGTCAGTCCACATTCTCTCGTTTTGTGATCCTTCAGTCATGTCTGACACAGATATTCTTCTATACCTTGATGCTAAAGTGTCCAGCATCGTCTTTCTTAGTCTCTCTATTATAAAGTTTTCCCATGGGAGATGTGTTTTTTTTTTGTTTTTGTTATTTGAAGTCCACCTATGTTTTCCCCTTGGTGTTTAAAAATATCTTCTAGAACTTCTAGTCCCTCACCCCTCTTCCCTACCCTGCCCCCACCAGTTGAATTTGTCTTTCAGTATATGGATTCTCTCTCTCTTTTCTGTTGCACTGTCCATTTGATGCCAGAGAGAGTTCACCACATCCAGTTTATCATAAAGTTCCTCACTACCCAGTGGAGTGGCAGCAGCTAATCTGTCAGCATGCTTGTTTTATCGCAGACCTGAAAGTCCTGGACAGCAAGCAGGCTAGTCACTGCTTTCACTGAAAGTACAGGATTGTTCCCCCCCCCCCCAACCCCCCATCTCACTTACTATAGGATAGGGAGCCACTGAGGTGTGGTGGCTAGATGTTCTCCTAAGGTTTCAAGGTTGTAGGTTCACACCCTCATTGAGCTAGATTTAAAAATAAAAACCTTTGCTTCCAGGTTGACCCAGGCTAAAATGGGTACCAGATCTAGTGCTGGGAAGCAAAGGCGGCTGGCATCTGATGTTGGCCACATCACCCACCGAATGCCGATTGGTCTAGAAAATAAGGCTAGCCCTGTGTGCCTAATGGCGGGGAAAATGTCCTTAAATATAGGACACTTGTGCTGGTTTTTGTAGCATACTTTTTTTTTAAAATCAGGGTGGGGTAGCTGACTCCATGCCCAGCTCTTCTCCTTTCTTATCCAGGCATGGGACCTGTGATGTTGACTAGGTCATGAATTCTGTATGACATGTAAGGGCACAACAGTAAGATGATGAATGTAGCATCTGTTGTGTTTTGAATACAGAAATGTTCTTTTTTTGTTTTTCACACATTTAATTCAGAATGGTAAGGAGGTTACCAGGGATGATGCAGACCCTGCGTCGCAGGTGTAGCATCGAGGAGCTGAAGGCGCGAGATCCAGAACTGTGCATACTTTTGAGCCTTATCTGTATTGTTACGTTGCAGGTATGGCCTTTTATCCAAGATTACCTGTAACATGGTTATGTTTTGCAGCTGAGGAGGTTTGGTTTTCTTGTCAGTAAAAGTTGGAAGTTGAATTTGAGAGAGAGTCGACTTCGTTGCACTGACTGCTGACGGCATCACATAAAGCATGCACTCTTTAGCCCCGGCTAATAAGATTTCTATAAACATGGCACTTGTGAACTGAACAACACAGCCAGAAAATCTTCTTCTTACCGCTCACCGGTTGGTTTTACAACCAGACAGTCAGCTAGTAGCATGTCTTTTTGCAGAATCTTGCACCCGTAACAACCCTCAGGAAAACTTTTGATCACAAGCAAGATGTCCTGCATCCAGTACACCCACTTGGAGATCATCTGCCACATCCTGCAGCCATTTTCTCTTTGGCCTTCCTCTTCCTCTCTTCCCAGGCATATTCCCTACCATTATCCAGATAGATGGAGATTTTTAAAAGTCTTAAAGTGTTAAATCTGTGGGTAATTAAGAAGCAGACAGCCTTGCATTGGTTTCGATAGTGGTATTGACAGCCGAAGATTCAGTCATAAACCTGTCAGTCCCAGCATGCACAGGCAAAGTATATTGCATAAGGTAGCTGTCATGTGGGCTAAAACTGACTCCTACCAGACTTGCAGCTCACTGTTGATGCAAGTAGTCAGTTACGACAACCCGCACAAACATTACTGCATAAGTGCACGTCATTCCTAACATAACTGACCAATCACCATTTTCAGTGCAGTTAATAAACACATATCCACCGTGGACACAGCAGAAAAAAAACATTCCACATGAAACCCACAGCTCACAGAAATGCACCAAACACTGCATTCAACAGCAGAATATCGTGGGAAGTAAAGGTGCCTGGCATGATGTTCAAACCTCATCCATCAGGTGCCAGTGGATTGATAAAAATACTATATTCATACCAGCTTCATTCGTGATAGTTTATGAACATGTCATTTTCCCAGCGTCTACTTTTAATCCACAACTGCCTTATGTTTATTTGTTACCTTGAGGTTTCAACTGGCACCCCCACCTCGCAAGTTTTGCAGATGAAGCTACTTAACCCTCCACCGTCTTTCCCCTCCGACCCCGACCAGCACAACATTAGTGCTCACTTTAAAAATTACTGATATATTCACTCTGCTGTTGAGGCTCTCACTGTTAAGAGAACTTATTGTAAAACTTTTTCTTAAAGGAGAATAAAACATGTAAGCACTGAAGGGAAATAACTCCAGTGAATTTTAACTTTTAGTGATGGTGAGGTTGATTATCAGAAGTATGTAGAAACCTTGCATATAACGTAGGACTTAGACATTGCAGCCAGAATGACATCTGCAAATTTCACAACTCTACGAGTCACCATTAGAGAAGAGTTCTTATAGCAGATGCATGAGTTTTCAGTTTTATGGTAAAAGATGCCCAATGCGCCAACAATAGGTAAAGTGTCCCTAATGTTTTACATGATGTAGCTGTGATTGTAATTCACACAGTTCACCTTTACTTCCCTTTCAGCTGATCTGCTGGCTACCCATTGTGGTGCTGTATATGTTATATGATGCCACAGAATTCCCACCAACTCCCAGCTGTACGGAGCTATTCTTCCTGCTACTCTGGTGCTCAAGAATGGCCATTCAGCCTGTACTGTATGCTGTTTATTCAAAATATTTTCACCAAAATTATATTGAACTTATTACATGCAAACGATGTCGGTGAAGTGCCTTCATCATCATCTGGTTATGCCGTTACAAGCCACACAGGGCTCTCAGCCCAGTGTTTCTCAACCTGTGTATACCCATGGCCCACCAAAACATAAAAGCTTCTTTTTTAAAAGTGAGGACACAAACGATATATTGCCCAATTTATTATCTGGGACATTTCTCATTAGGTACATTACTACAGGGTTAAATCAACATATAATGAAGACAAAATAAATTCTCTTCTTGCTGAAATGCATAAATCACATCGTCATATCTATCCAGCGGAAATTCAAATCAGTCACTTGATTATCATGGTAACTTCAAATTGATCATGTGATCTTTATTTTCACACCGCAATTTTTATTTTGATCGGTCTACCTGACAACTAACCATACTCAGAAACACAAACAAATCTAGACAGCAATAATTTTGCCACAAAATGACAGTTTTCAGCTAATGCGATACCTGCTGCTGCTCAGAGGTTGGAAAATCTTTGCGGCTAGGCGGGGTTTGTACATGTTTTTTTTTAATGCGTTGATCCTGCAGACTGCACTCCTGGTAACTGAAGCTCTCAGGGGGCTAGAGAACAAGATGCATACTCGTGTCGTAATTGTAACAGACTCTGAAAACATGCTGAAAAAGGTGAAGACAGGGATTCTTTGAGCAAAGTGGCAAGCTTCACGGGTAGTGAGCATAGTTTGGATCTTTTCTCCAGGCCATGCCGACGTGGTGGGTAATGAATAGGCAAACAGATTGGATGGATCTGCACCACTGGGTGGTGAATTGATACATAAGTAGGCAAGTGTGGTCAAGGCCCTTTGGGAACAAAGCAACGGAATTAGTAGAGAAATAAGATTATTATGGCGTGGAGAGAATGAGGCGCCTGGGTGTAACCAAAGGGTCTGGCCGGCTCACTTCACTCAGAGGAAAGGCAAGATGGATATATAACCAGATTGTGGCTGCTGAAGATAAGGACAGAGCACACATTGGAAATGCCTCAAGTGCTGTGATGTCAGTTCTTGACTCAACTCAATCCGTTAAAAGGAAAACATGACTGGGAACAAATATTTGGCGGCCTGCCTGGGCTCTTGCAGGGCCCACCAGTGGGTCGCAGCTCACCATTCTAGACCTCCATGCTGTTGAGTCTTGTGCAGTCTTCTCACTGTCATAGTTGGAAGCCTACTGGTTCCTCAAGTTACTATTGACTGCTTCATCAGGTCTTTTCGTGCAGAAAGAACTCCTCAGAAAAACGAACACAACAGAAGCTTTCTCGTCATCAGAAGTAGCCCCCCCCCCCCCCCCCCCTCTCTCTTTGCTTGGTGTTGGCCCCCCTATGGCTTCTTAAAATCGTCAGTCAGACCTGGCAGTGATATGCTGTGTAATAGAATTTGAGGGCTTTCCCAAAGCCAGATTCTAAATCCAGGTCTTTCTTGGCAAAACCTACCTCTTCTGCTCTTCCCTTGAACCAAGTAGGGCTTTCTTTTTCCCCTGGTGGTTCACAACCGAATGCAGTCCTGGCACTTTGTTTTTTTTTTTTTTTTTGTTTTTTTTTTTGATATTGCTGTTTTTGACACTAATGTAATCAACACTTTGTAGTGGGTACCGGCACCTGTTTTTAGAAACTCTGAGTACCAGCATCTTATTTTCTAGAAAAAAAAAGCCCTCGTTCCAGCCATATAGTCAGGTTCGGGAAGACTCAGTAGATCTTTTCCGCTAACTACCGACAAGTACAGTTATTTGTGTAAGGTCAGCAGTTTATCTTGTTGAAGCATCTGCAGTTAAACTGTATGGAGAACAAAATTCATATATTGTTAAAAGAAAATGTTAAGTAAATTGAATTGATTAAACTGCTGTTGCTGTTTTGTTTTTTCGTTTTTATGGGAATTTTTTTTTTTATCCTGCCAGCCCAGAAGTAATAGGTTTAAATATGCCACATATAAAAATTGGGATGGGACGATTCTTATTGTGCAGTTAAACAAGGTGTAAATCCTTTAAGGCTTTCGTAAAAATTGGTGGAGGATGTGAACGAGCTTAACCTTGTTTAGTTGTGCAAAATAATAATAATAGTTATTAGTATATTCTGAGGCAAGGAAAAAAATTATATATTTGAAATAAATATAAAAGGTATAAACAAATGTTTAAAAAGAAAATGTCTAAATAAAGAGGAGGGGTTGAGTAGTCTTGAGGTATGACGTTTGCCTCAAGTGCTGGAGGCGTCAGGTTCAGGCCTCGGTGAAGCCTTGGATTTTTTCAGGTGGACTTCTGGTAATTTCCCCTGGCCTCTTGGTAGTAAATTAAGACACAAGTGTGTATTGTTGCGCACGAAAAAATACCTTGGCAGTATTTCAGGATCGCCGGCGGTGCTACAGAGTTCATGCACTGTGCTGAGATTCTTCAGACTCAGGCTGAAGTTGGAAGTAGAACTGAGCACTTATGGGTTGCTACCCTTGTGCCATGATGTTGATCCGTTGTTTAAACCTTCAAGAGGAGGGGTACTTGGGGAAAGGGGGGTGGGGGGGGGATTTGAGAGGGGCTTCTACATGTTTGGGGTGGGGGGGGGGGAGGAAGATTCTAGGTGCCTTTGTTTCAAGTATTTTAGTTTCCTGAATTTTGCTACAGAAATAGATGAGGAACTTATCACTACAAATTACTCGCTTTTTGAGTACCAGAAAGTAAAGACGGCCTACGTAATGCTTACTGTATTGCCCACCTAGTGCCGATTGGCCTGTCAGCTCCACACGTTTATTGTTTTAACTCATCCTTTTTTAAAACTGTTGAGCTTAAAATAGTACAACTGTGGAGCTTGTGCCAATGATCTCTGCACATTTTTAGAAGTCTCCTGGGCTACCAGGTTATCCAAGTCTCTCCCCCCCCCCCCCCCCCCCAATGATTTTGTAGGTGTATGGCTCCGAAGCTGATGAGAGAGCCACTAACACCTTTTCTCCACTTGTGGGTTCTGGGGGGGTGGGGGGAGAATAGGAACCTGTTTTACCCGTCGAACACTTTCTCAGTTTGATCTAGGTCAGAGGGGTGTCAGGTTGTACTTCTTTCTTCAGAAAGAGTCTTTCGTGGGGCTTAGGTTGTGGGTAGGGAGGTTTGGGTTAGGGCCAGTTTTAGATGTTCTGGGGTCGTTGAAAGCTGTGTCGTCGTAGTATAGAACACGCGACATCGGCGCCGATGTATTTGGAGGCAAGACAACGTGACACCCAGCCGACATAGAATAATCTGAGAAAGTATGAATCAAAGGCAAAGCAGTGTGTGGATGGGCCGGGAAGCGGGAACTGGACC